AAAGCACACAACAGCCGCGGATCCCACCCACAGTGGGACCTGCCTGGTGTCAGCTAGCCTTGTAAATCTTTCTGAGGGAGGGCAAGGCGTCCTGGGGAAGAGGCTATAAACATGCACTGCTTGGCTGAGCTCCTAATTGACAGAATCTTGAAAGCAGAAAGCTGATCTAGGTTTCCTGCCCAGCCCATGAGCCTTCACTTTCCATGGTGCACACCCTCTATGGAAGACAAGCATGAGGATGACATGGATTTGACTTTTGAAAGATGTTTCTTTTTTGAATAGCAATAATAAAAAACCCCCACAGTATCCAGATGTTCCAAAAGAAGACCTCCTTTTGCATCTCCTAAATATTTTCCAGGTCTTGGACCCCTTGCAGAATATGATTTAAGCTCTGGGTACTCTCCCCAGAAAAATGCACACAGGCACAAACACAAACACTCTGGACGTAATAACTTCAGGGTTAAAGATTAATTAGGCCCAGGCCTTTGCCTTCCAGAAGCTAACAGTCTTACAGAGAAGGTAAAGAAACAAGTAAAAATGCGTATAAATATAAGTGAGAAAATGCCAGAACTCTGAAGGATTGTAGTGCCTAAGTATTTTGAGAGTTCATGGGGAAGAGAGAATGAGAGTTGTAAGATAAAGAGCCAACAGATGTGAAGTCCAAAATGCTGTTCATGTGTGCTACGATGTCCGCTGAGGGCCTTGGCTCCTTCATATCCAAGGTGGCCTTGGGCTTCTGAGTCCCGTGGACTAGGGAGTGTAACATCGTCTCCTCTGTTGGTTCACTGTGGGGACCTTGGTCTCCTAGCCCTTCCACCTCTCAAATTTCTGGCTTCCTCACACACCACTTCCGTCCTCATAATATGTCTTCCCCAACATGAAATTCAGTCACCCCTCTGGTTTCCACAACCACAACAACAATCAATCAGACCAAGCATTTATACAGGTTTTATAAAGTATGGGAGACGGGTCCTGGAAAAGGGTCATGCCATCCACTGAGTTCTGCCTTCTCTTCACACTTTTGCTTCTGCTCCCCCCCTGCCCCCCTTTAAGTTCCTGATCTTTAGTGTCAGCTGACACCTAGGCCCGGGGTGAGGATTGGTGGGGGAGGGGGACTACCCTCTCTTTAAGCACTTGTCAAGGCATCCTACACACACATACACACACACACACACACACACATGCACACCACACACGCACATGCACACACAGTGCTTTATCTAAGAGGAATTCGGCAGTAAAGGTCTCTCCATCCCACCTGTATTGGTGTTGAAGAGAACAAACTCTACTCTGGCTAGATTAAGCAAGAAAGAAGTTATGACATGATATTAAGTGTCTTACAAAACTACTTGGAGGGATTTAGAAAAGACTTTAGGTTGAGCTTTCAGAAAAGCTTCCCAAAGAAGATCTGGGCCACCAAGGAAGCTGCTCACTCCAGTACCAGCACTGCTCCTGCCACAAGGCCACCTGCTAAATGAATGACACCGGCCTCCCAACATCCATGAGACTAGTGACAGGACACCAGGATGTCTCCTCATGCCACCAGAGAAAGCTCAGTCAGTCTCTCAACTGCACTGCCCACAGAAACAGCAGGAGCAGCAGAAGTATGGCTTCTGCCTGGCTTCCACCCAGATCTCCCACAAGTACATCTCATGGTTGGTCCTTCCTCATCTCTGGATCCCTGATTGCATGGGAGTCTGGAAAATGTAGTTTTTAGCTTTCCAGCCTTTGCAGTACTAGACAGTCTACTGCAAGGTAGATGGAATGAAGGTGAGGGGTGAGCGGCCACTGAAGCATGAGGCTTCATGGCAGAAGATGGACACCTGTATGGGAAGGATGCCGTTTTTAGCTTTCCAGCCTTTGCAGTACTAGACAGTCTACTGCAAGGTAGATGGAATGAAGGTGAGGGCCAGTCTAGTTTGTATACACCACACCATATTATTTTGAATGAGGGAAGAGAGGAAGGAGGTTGAGTGGAGAAAAGAGCTTTTATTAGGCACCTATTATACACTAGGTAATTTATATCCATTACTTATTTAATTCCTACAACACACTCTCCCATACTTACTAGGTTATTCATGGATGGTTCTTCAGAAATGGCACTACATCTATTTGCTAGCTTCAGCTACTCTACCTCTCAGGGATATTTTATTCTTCAAATGCTGGACATGGGATCGAGTTGTTTTACTTTTGTTTCCTTCACACTATCTGGGATTTTTGCACCTCTACTGATGATCTGCAATATAGAGAGGCTTGATTAAGCCTTTGGCCTATTTCTCAAACAGGGTGACAAGCTGCTCCTTGTAACCTAGCTGTCATCTGAGGCCTTCTTAGTATTTGATCTCTGGGAAAGAATGCTCTCAACCCCAAATTCCAAAGTCTGGGCAAGTCCAGAACACTCCCCACTGCAATTTCTCCTGGTGCTTCTGCTTCTAGGCTGTAGCAACTGTGTGAGCCATCCCGATTCGAATGTCAACCTGAATGCACAATTCAGCCTTCACTGGTGTGCATGAGAGATACTCACGGTGAGTATTTGTGAACCTAGCAGAGGAAGAGGGGTCACATCATGCGCCCCAAAGCCTTCCTATTTCTGTCACATTGTCCTACAGAGTATCCACAAGTTTCCTTTCTCCTTCACTGTGCAGAGCAGTCCCCCATCTGATACCTCTTTTCCAGCTAACACTCAGATCTTTAAAGCTCTGCTTTCTACCCCAACAATTCTCAGGGTGTTTTTTTTTTAATAAAGCAGTTCTCTCCCTAGAAGGATTTCTAGTGGCAGCTCTTGTTATAGTAAAAAATTTTCTGTCTGATTTCACATTTTGTCACACACAGAGTTGGGGGTTTTAAGAAGTTCCCTCTAGTAATTAGAATGTTTTTGATGCAATTTAATAGGAACCCAATTCAAAGTGTCCTAAACAATAAAGATAATCATTATCTCACAAAATTAGAAGCCCAGAGACAGGTTGGCTCCAACCTTCAGGGTCCTCGCTCTGCCTCCTAGTTCTATTTCAGGCTTGGCCTCAGACCTGTAGCAAAAAGGCTGCTGCAGTTCAGGCATCATAGCCAGACCACACAATGCGCAGAACAAGAAGGGATGGTCTCTTTCCGATATCTCTTTCTTTGTAGGGAGGAGACCTTTCCCAGAACCCCTTCAGCAGAAGTTGCCTTCCCATCTCTTTGGCCAGGTTTGGTCACGTGCCTAAGCCCATAGCTAGAAAGGAGAATGGGATCTGTGATTGGCTTAAATTAACCAGGAACCATCCTTGGTGATGGGAGGTGGTGAGCGGCCACGGAAGCATGAGGCTTCATGGCAGAAGATGGACACCTGTATGGGAAGGGTGTCCCTTCAACACTCCTGTGGCTCTGTCTCCCAGCTCAGTACTGTGGATGGTTGTGCTAGCTTCTCCTCCAGCTTCAGTCTATTCCTGCAGCTGCCAGCCAGAGAGGGCACCAGCCAGCACTGAACATTTCTGTCTTAAAGTTTTCCTCTCCACTTCTGCACCAAGGACAAACTATCTCCTTCCTGGAACAAATCATTCTCATGTTTTGAGGAATTAGTGTTCTCATTTTGTTTCTCTGTTTAAAACATACTAGCAATCATTTGCAAAGTAATTGCATAGATTATTTTTTAAGATGGACTATTTTTTGAGAGAAGTTATAGGTATTTGGGGGATTCCAAAACTTCCATTTCACGTAAGCTAGTTAGGAGGAAGCAGAAAAGATGCATGTTTATTGAATCAATAAGTAAATGAATATTAAGCTGTGGAGAGTAAGCTGTGGCTTTGGGTCCCTGCTCTGACCAGAGGTAATTCTCTGCAGCATGTGCCATGTTCCCTAAGGACTCTGGTGGGTTTTCAGACTTCTGGAAGAGTAAAACCCTCCCCTCCTGCTCTCCTCTACTGAACTACAGATCTGCATCCTCTTCCTTCCTGGTAAGTCCTTTTGACTGTAGCTCCTGAGATCCTATCCTGTTTTCCTCTGCACTCTCTGGTGTTTAGAGGCTTGGTTGCAAGCTGGTATTAAATCTGGTTCTGTACTTTGTTGAGCTTTACTTCTTCACTTCTTGTAGTTGGAACTGTCTTATTTATTAGCATCTTTTCTTAAAGGCTTTCTGGTTCACATCACATATTTAGCTCACTAGAATCCCTATCCCAACCCCTACACCCACATTTAAAGCACAAATGGGTTCCCATGGGCCATGGGATGACAGCTTACATGCAGAGCCAAGGTGGCTGCTAAAGCCATGCACCTTCAAGGGGGTACCCTCTTTGCTTAGGCCCTTGCTGTTCTTGGGGAACCCATCACTCATGTGCACCACCCCCAGGGTTATGCCTTGCAGTTTCCCATTCCCAGAATGCTTTTACCATTCAGGAAAAAAAGGTATTGTTCTCACCCAGGAAAGACAAGGAAGTTCCCTAGCACCCCCTCAAAACTAGCTTTTGGAGAATCCCAAACAGGCCTTGATGCTTTAAGATGTCTTTTGCTTTTGATCCAGATGAAGGAAGGAAGATCACTAAGGAAGGCCCAGATCCAAAGTGAATTCTTTTGTCTAGTACATGGTTTATTTTAAATGTGAAAGTTCAAGGTCACTAAAACAAATGGATTGAATGGGGCATTTGTGAATTCTGAAGCGTAGACATTTCTCCATGTTTGGAGGATGTGCTCAGATATTTGTGCACTTTTTGTCATTTTTTAATTAAAAGAGTTACTGAGGCTGTGGAACATTGCACCAAGAATGATGTGAAAAATAAATAAATGATGATACAAGGCTCAGAATCCCAAGGAGGTAAAGGAGAGAAAATATGGTTGGTGTTATCCTCATGTGGCCCCAGGACATCTGGTTGAAAAACCTCTTTCCGACATACCAAACCGTAAGTTGGATGAAGTTATTGATGGGATGGAATAAATTGGGCAGGTCAACTGCTGTCAAGAAGACTGACCTACAGCAGTGTCCTTCCTGCTTTTTCCCCTTCATCCTTACTTACCTAATTTTGTTAAGACCTCTCTTTATGAACTTGACTTTAGATTGCATTGGCTTGATCAGGCAGCTTTGAGAAAGAGATGTCCTGTGGGGAAAAAAATACAATTCTTCTTCAGCAACTGAGTTGAAAGAAAGAGTGTGCATTTTGGGGTGTTCAGGTCCAGCTCTTTCATAGAAGCAGCTGCATGCTCTTATATAAGGTATTTCATGTCTCTAAGTTTCATTCTCTTAGCTGGAAAATGCAGACCAAACATTTTTTGAAAATATGTTCTGAGAATGAGTGATGTATACAAATTGCTGTGTATGGTACCTAGTGCAAAGTAAGTAAGATATGATATAATGTATGAAAAATAATCACTCTGCCTTCTTTGTGGGGGCAGGAGAGAAGTTAGGAGGTGATTGCATGGATAACAAGGCAAGAAATTATGGTAGCCTAGACCAGGGTAGGAGTGCTAAAACTAATAAGAAACAGTCCAATTCTGGTCATATTTTGAAGATAGAGCAACAGAATTTTCTGATGGATTCCCTATGGGGTATGTGGGGAGCAAGAGGGGAGTCATGAATAACTCATGTTTTATGCTTGGGCAGCTTAAAGGATGGACTTGTCATTTACTGAGACAGAGAGGACTGAGGGAAGGGTAGGTATTGGGGAGACACTAAAGAGGAGGGGTTGGGTAGGCAGTTGGATATATGACTTTGGAGTTTGGGGGAGAGGCCCAGACTGGACATAAACATTTGAGAGTCTTTAGAGTATAGATGATACTTAAAATCATGAGCTCAGATCAGATCCTCTTGGGAGTGAGTGAGGATAGTGAGTGAGGATAGAAAGAATCTAGGTCTGAGAACTAAGCCCTGGAGCAGCCCAGTGCTACACATCAAGGAGATGAGGAGGAACAAATGCATCCCCCACCTTCCCTTCTCCCTCCCTCCTTTTCTCTCCCCTCTGCTTTCTTCTTCTTTTATCATTATGAAAGGGGACTGTTCTATTTAATTCAGTTAGCCTTCACTTGAACAAAGTTGCTTACAACACTTTTTTGGGTTTGCTTTTAAAAAGTGATATATGCTCTTTGAAACTTCAAAGTCTTTTAAGAAAAAAACACACAAAAAAACACAACCAACCCAAAACACCCAACTCCAAGCTGTAGAAGAGGTCTCGTGGTGCAGGCATTGAACCAGCAAGTCCAGTGCATCTGGAGATCAAGTTCCTCTCAGGATTAGTGAAATTGAGCTTTTGTTAGCATTAATTTAATGGTGGAATGTCAACTTGAAAACCTCAAAAATCCTTTTCTGCTTCGCATCTCTTTTCCTTTTTCATCCAAAAGAAAAACTATGTGAAGCCAGAAGGGAGAATCTGAGAAAGGTTTGACTCTTCCTTTGGTGAGATAAACAATCTGTTGTTTCATGGCACCAATACAGAAATCATGTGTTTGAAGAACAGGCTGAGACTACAGTATTACTCAGGATAGTTTGGGGAGGCAAGGTAGGAATAGCTCAATTCCTGTGATAAAGATCTGAGTGTCTCAGTGGACCATGGGTTTTCTATGAGCCAAGTAAATGACATGTTTGTTACAAGAACCATCACAATTGTAGGTTGAATTCAAAGAGATCTAGTATTCTGGCCATAGGAAGTCAGAATTCCCTGAATAAAGAGACTTCTGGTTGGATGATACCAGCATCTGAGGTTGCTGGCCACCATATTTATCTCATGGTTTCAGCTAGGACTATTACATCAGAGAGAGATAGTGCACCTAAGGTCGCTAGTGACTTAGGAGACCTGATTTAAACAGACAAGCTAGGACAGATGCTTTTGAGAATCTGAAACAATATAGTTGTCAGGTGATTGAGGAGAGAAGAGAGCTGGAACAGAGAGGCCATGTGAGACATAACAAGGTGAGTGTCCAGAAAAAGCACGAGTAGAGAGAAGAGGAGGAGGAGGAAAAAGCAGACGCACAGAGAGAAGGAGAGAGGCTTTTGGGAGACAGAAGGATACAGACATTAGGACAGATACACATAGTAGGGGCTTCAGGTCCTGCCAGCTCTGCTTCTTTCCTGTCCTTGGGTTCTGTGGGGTCAGTTATCATTGACACAAGCCCCTTTACACTTGAGCCAGCAGAGTGGGTTTCTGTTCTTTGCAACTAAACGCATCCTACAATGTCCCCATCCCGCTGGCCATTAGGTTCTGCTCATCCGTTGTCAGCCCAACCTGGAATTCCTCCTTCCTCCCTTGACTTTCCCTGTTTTACTCTGCACTCAAAGCCAAGCTGAAGTTCCTATCTCTCTCACGAAGCCCTACCCAACCAGACCAGGTTCCAGAGGACTCTCTTTCCCCTGAGCTTCTACAGCTTTTCTAGCCTTCCCAGCCCACCCCATCTTCCCATGGCAGACCAGGGACATGTAAGCACGGAGTTCAGGGGAGCCCAGAAGAGGGGGGAAACGCATCAGGCTTCTCCAAGAGCAGCACTGCTTTCTCTGAAATCCTCCTCTGACCTCCATCTCCTTATGGGACTTCCAAGGTCACCCTGGTATCACAGCCCATCCTTCCTTGCATCCTTCTACCCTCTTCCCACACACTCATGTCAGCACATGGTTGCCGAGTAATGAAAAATTGAGCTTCACTGCCACCACATCCAAGGCCTACCTGACCAAACCCCATAACTAACCTCTGTATTGGCTTTTGATCCCATCCGTCTATTTAAACAGCTCTCTCAAAGGTCCAATAGCTTGTTCACCATCTTCACTTGTAATTTAAAGCTCTTCTAGAGACCCATCTTTCTAAAATCTATTCCACCAGTCTGGACCTCACTCAAACAACAATCCTTGCAATCCTGTATTTCTAACCGTCTTCTGGGTATCCCAATAGCATCTCAAACTGAACTCATATCTTCCTTTACCAATGGATTGCTGCTCCTGGCTTCCTAAGGCATTCACATTCTCTGTACTTGTCCAGGGATCAAAAATTTGGAATCACCCAATCTCTCATGTCCACTCCCCACATGCAGTTTGGTCACAAGTTCCTGCCCACCCTCATTACAGCTGCTACCACTTCTCTGCAGAGCTCCAACTGCTCATGTGTCAACCTCCATTGGGATGTTTCATAGTCATCTAGAACTTAACATGTCCAAAGTGGAATTCTTGAGCCTATTATCCTGTCTCCTCAGCTCACTTTTACCTCCATAAATGACTTCATTATAAGCCCAGTTGCTCAACCTGGCCATCCTTGACATGTTTTCCTATCTTGAGGGCCACATTTCTATGGGGTGTTTCAGGAGCACCCAGAATTGCTAATCCCTATGTCTATAAAAAAATCTACTCAATATTCATTTATAGTTTGTTTATTCCTTTAGCCTAAAGGCATTTAGTCCAAGTGCTGCATACAAAAACTATTTGAGCTAGTTTCTTTTCAGCCCCTTCTGTCCATAGACTTTCAATTGGACCCTCTATGTTTGCTCCATCTCTCATTTCTGTCCCTGTCACACCTGGCTCTTCAAGTGAAGGGCCTCTCTGGGGCACCAGAGCTCCCTTCTCTGTGGGTTGTCTAGGGCCAGGCTGGGGCCTCCTCCTCCTGGCTCCATTAGGCATCATGCCTCTATCCTCTTGCCTGTTCCAGAAATGTGTTCACTCATGTCTGCCTCCTCCAGGTCTCTTTGTGGCTAAGGGTTCCTTCGTTCTGAAGGAGCCCTTTGTTATCATTTTAATGGGATCCTGGGAGGGAAAGGAGACACTTAGGCTCCCAGTCTGCTGTCTTAAACCTGATTTCCAAGGACTCCAGAATCAGAAAGATGTGGGTTTACAAACTGAGACAATGGTCAGCTTCTTGACTTCTCCAACTCTCAGATTCCTCATCTAAGAAATGGGGTGAGAACCCTACATCACATGAATTTGAGGAGAACTGAACTAGATCTTATATATAAGGTGGTGGACACAGTGTTTGGCACCATGTTCAGTAAATGACACCTGTTATTGTCACCTGGATGCAATTTCTGCTGATTTGGCCCCTGATTTGTCTTCAGGGCATCGCAGAGCCCTTAAGCATAAATTGGGCAGGGAGCAGTCATCTCAGCATCAGCCCTGAGCTGAGAGTGCTCCTTTGCAGGATGCTACGTCTCCTGGCTTGGCTTCTCTTGGTCCCAGGATGTGCTTTTGGCCTGGGACTTGCACATTTCTCCTCTGGCCTTGAGTCAAATGGCTTGTGGTGCCTCCACCAACCCACTCCTTTTATGCTGAGGACACATGATTGTCTCTGATGGGCCTGAGTGATGAGCTGATGATTTGGGTAGAGTGAGGCCAAATCCCTGTGTGGCTCCAGGGATGGGGATAAATATAGCTCAAGTAATTGCTCATGCTCTTTTAAGGACTAGAAGTCAGCTTCAGGCAAGCTGGGAAGCTCCATGACCAGGACAGCAAGGGACACAGTTCCTTTTTTTAGAGCTGTGGTCAGAACCTCCTGTGCACTGCTGGATTCCGGACCTCTGTGACGCGATTTCCACTGAACAAAGGGGCCCCCTTCACTAGTCTACACCCCATGAGGGCAGGGATGTGTCTGAGGTGTCTCCACCACATAAGGGAAAAGAGCTTTAGGGCCAAACAACCTAAGTTCACATTTACTGGCTATGGAACATTAATTGTTTCATTTCTAAGTCTCCAACACGATGTCTGGCCCACTACAGGGGCTCAGTAAACATTCTAACTGGATAAATGAGCAGTGAGGGAGCTAGATTTTAAAAATAATTTTAGAATAAGATTTGTAGCCTAGTTAACAGTAATGGACCAATGCTAACTTCCAGGTTTTGATACTGTACAACAGCCATATAAGATGTCACCGCTGGGGAGAAGCTAGGTGAAGGGTACATGGGACTATTTTTACAACTTCCCATGTGCCTGTAATTATTCCAAAATAAAAAGTACAAAAAACAAGTAACCTTTAGTCAGGCTCACACCAACCCTCTGTGACATTTGGAGGAAGCAGTGCTGAAAGATGAATTAATGAAATCCCTGTCCACAACAGTGTTCTGTTTCATTATTTATCTTTGAACTTAAACGCATGATTTATTCTTATTATTCAAAACTTTAGATGTATAAATAGAC